TTCATCGTAGAGAGGGTTAAACCAGGCTACTCCTTGGAGGCAAGGATTCTGGGGCTTCGTCTGACATACTTTGGACACGTTGTAAGGAGAGACAGTTCCTTGGAGAGGGACGTCATGGTGGGTAGAGTAGAGGGACAGCGCAGGAGGGGAAGACCCTCTATGAGGTGGATTGCTTCAGTGACTGGGGTAATCAGGATGGGTGTGTCAGAGGCAACGAGATTGGCACAGGACAGAGCACGGTTTAGGGCTATTGTACATAAGGTTATTATGAGTTGCAAACGACTCGATGGCACATAACAACAACAACAACCACAACAGGGCCTCCACAAGAAAAAGGCTGATAATACAATTACAAAATGGGCAAAAGTCATGGAAACAATTTTCACAGCTGAAGGTATTTGCATTGCCAACAGATACATGAAGAAATGCTCAAAATCACTGACAATTAGAGAGATGAAAATCAAAACCACAATGAGATGCCATCTCATCCCAGTAGCAGTGGCAAGATTTAACAGGACAGCAAGTAATAAATGTTGGGGAGGATGTGGAGAGATAGGAACTCTTACACTGTTGGTGGGATTGTAAAATGGCGCAACCATTCTGAAAAGCAGTTTGGTATTTCCTCAGAAAGTTGAACATAGAAATTCCATATGACCCAGCTATTCCACTGAGAACATTAGAACTGAGGCACAAACAGAGGTTTGTACACCAATGTTCATACAGCATTATTCACCACTGCAAAAACATGGAAACAGACCAAATGTCCAGCCATATTCAAATGGATTGAAAAATTATGGTACATTCACACAATTGAATATTACACAGCATGCGGGAGCAATGATTTTGATAATCACTACATAACATGGGAGGAACTGGAGAGTGTTATGCTGAGTGAAATAACTCAGTCCCATAAGGACAAATAGTTGTTGTTGTTGTTGTTGTTGTTATGTGCCGTGGTTTAATCCTCTCCAAGATGAATCTGTTTGTTTTCCTGGCAGTCCAGGGTAGTCCTTGGAGAGGGTCATCATGCTTGGGAGGGTGAAGGGATGGTGCAAGAGGGGAAGGCCCTTTCTGAGGTGGATTGATTCAGTGTCTGGAGTAATTAGGATGGGTGTGTCAGAGGCAGTGCGATTGGCACAGGAAAGAGCAGGGTTTAGGGCTGTTGTACATAGGGTCACTATGAGTCTCAAGTGACTTGATGGCACATAACAACAACAACAACAACAACAATGAGGATTCAAGGGGAGGAGAAAGGGGTAGAGGTTTGAGTATGGGCAGGGTGGGGGTTAATCATAAGGTCGCACAATCTGAGGGATGGAGAGAGGGGTGGGTAAAGGAAATGAGAAACATCCGGTGTGAAAAATAATGTATACAAATTTTGTAAGTAAAGCAGTATAGAATAAACATTTTATTTTAAAAAAAAAGCCACTTAGGAAAAAACCTCTTAAGATCATGCTCCACCCCAGCTGAGAGTTTCCAGTGACAGTCAAGAATATATCCACTTGATTCTCTAACTCTCATAGAGAGGAGCTTTTCCAATTAGTCCAAAGAACCACAGGCACCTCAACCTCCAGGGCTCTGAGATCAGGAGAACTAGATGGTGCCCTGCTACCATCACTGACTAATCTAAAAGAGATCACAATAGAAGGTCTTGGACAGAGTGGGCAGAAACACACAGGCAAAACTTAACAGAAAAGTGGTAGAGCCTCTGAGACAATAGCCCTTACTTACCCTTCAAACCTGGGACAGAGTGCACCCTTGTGGTTCAACTTTCAACTCAACAATAGATCAATTTAAAAGGCAAACAACAAAACCAGGGAGTAATCATTACTTAGAACAATCAACCACCCAAGATCAAAGGAGTAGAATTTGTTCTGGGATAGAGCTCAGGAGACTGGAAGAGGGAGGGTAGGACTAATGGAAACAAGAATCACAGTGAGGAAGTGGGAAGACTAATTATTCTGTGGGTATTGTCATTAATGTCATAGTACAAACTATGCATGAATGGTAGAAGGGAAAACCAGTTTGCTCTGTAAACTTTTACTCAAATCACACTTTTTCAAAAAAGAAAGAAAAGCTTTCCCTGCATCACATAGCTGGTCAGGGGCAGAGTCCTAACAAGAGGCATATCTACCCATTGCCAGCTCTTGACTCCTGTCAGTCCTTCCGCAAGAAGGGCCACCCATCATTCTGCAGGCCAGTCAGTTAAGTGTTGGACTGCTAACCAAAAGGCTGATGGTTCAAATTCACCAGCCTCCAAGGAGAAAACTGAGTCAGTCCCTCCAATTAAGAGGTTCAGCCTTGAAAACTGGCCAAGGTCACCATGCCTTGGACCAGGCTTAGTATGTTTCACCTCTCCAGAGCAGGTGCTCAGTGAGGCATTTTGTGCAGCTTTGATGTTTAAGACTATCCTTCTACTCTTTTTCTGACTTCGCTGCCACCATGGTCCCTATGAAAAAGCCTGTGACAAAAGGGGGTAAAAAAAAAGAAGCAGGTTCTGAAGTTCATCCTTGACTGTACCCATCTGGTAGAAGATGGAATCATGGATGCCGTTAATTTTGAGCAGTTTCTTCAGGAAAGAATCAAGGTTAATAAAAGAGGCATTGTAACCATCAAAAGAAGCAAGAGCAAGATAACTGTAACCTCTGAGGGGCCTTTTTCCAAACGGTATTTGAAATATCTCGCCAAAAAATATTTGAAGAAGAATCATCTACGTGATTGGTTGCGCATAGTTGCTAACAGCAAAGAAAGTTATGAATTGCATTACTTCCAGATTAACCAGGATGAAGAAGAGGAAGAAGAGGAAGATTAAAATTCATTTCTCTTGAATATTTTGTATAAGCCCTTAAATAAAACATGGGAACCAAAAAGGGAGAAAAAAGACTACCCTTCCAGAGATGCCTTATCACAGCCCCACTACCTGTCATGTTGCCATAACTTAACAGGTGTTAATATAAGTTGCAGAATCAGGGTGACCTGCTCAAAGCAGTTCCTATAAGGTGCAACATGGACTCAAACCCCAATCCACTGATCCCATCACACACACACACACACACACACACATACACACACACACCTGTGGGGCTCAAACCCCAATCAGCTGACCCCAAACCACACACACGCACCTCCAGCAGGGTGAAGGCATGCTACCTTATGGCCACGTTGCTACTATCTATCAAGATGGGAGACGGAGACACACACACACATGCACACCCCGCAGGGTGAAGGCGTGCTACCTCGCGGCCACGTTGCTACCATCTATCACGATGGGACACACACACACACACACACACACCTCCCTACGGGGTGAAGGCATGCTACCTCATGGCCACGTTGCTGCCATCTATCACGATAGGCCTCAGGGCAGCGGCGGGGCTTGCACAGTCCTCATCGGGGTCCAGGTCCTGGCTGCACTGGGAAGAGTCCCGGGGGACACAGGCTCCCCGCGGGACGAGCAGCGGAGCAGCGGCGCCCCCTGCTGGCCGCGCAGGGGCGCGGGGGCGGCTCCCGGTCTGAATCAGCTCCTGCAGCACGTCGTTGACCAGGGCATCTTTGCCCAACTTGTCCAGCACCCTGAGCACGTCCTGCTGGTCGTAGCCCAGCTTCTGGAAGAACTCCAATTTGCTCGAAAGCCCCATGCTGCGTCCGACGAGACTCGGGGGTCCTACCCCAGGCTTCCTGCGCGTGGAGCCCCACAGGCATGAGCTAAGGAGAGAAAAGAGCCGTCAGGTGCTTTCTACAAAGTAGTGGTGTGCACACCCCCCATCTGTCAGGAAATCAGGCCAGGCTGTCCCCTCAGGGACTTTCAGCTGCTCCTTGTGGTTGGGGAGTCGCAGATGCAATATCTCTGATTTGACTAGTTCAGTCTCCATGACTCACACCCGTGGAACACACACACACACACACACACACACACTGGAATCAGGACCACAGTGCTGCTCTCCACCACCTCCTCCTCCTACCAGTCCACTGACCAGATGGGGCCCCTACACAGAAGGGCCTGGGCCCAGGCTGGGCATTCCCACCCAGGTTTTAGGAAAACACCTAGGATCTTTGAGAAAGATCATGGAAACAATAGAGACCCTCTGGAAAAACAGTTCCTCTTGCTTTTCTATCAATAAAGACCCTCCATCTTTTCAAGAGACAGAGATAATGAAGACATATTTACCGTGGAGAATTCAAACAATGCAAACGTTTAAGGAATAAATAACAGAACACCTCTTCACACATACCCCAAAGCCTGCTTGTCCCTCCTGCCACTTGGTCATCCTTCCAGCTTAGTTTTTAGGCATTTACTTGCTGTCCTGATGGCCTCGTAGGTTAAGAATTGGACCGTTAACTGAAAAGTCAGCAGTTTAAATCCACACACCACTCCTTGGGGGAAAAGATAAAGCAATCTCCTCCGGTGGAGGCCACCACAATTCAGAAGTGACTCAACAACAGTGGCTTGGACTTGCTTTCACAGTGTCCAACATATATCGCTTTGCTGTTGTTGTGCCATGCTGTGAGTCTATTATGTCTCATAGTGACTCCATGTGAGAGTCATAGACTGTAGGCTTTACAGAAGCAGAGTTCTTTCTCTGGCAGAGCCTTCGGATGGATGTGAACCATCACCATTCAGTTAACAGTCAAGCACTTACCTACTGTGCCACCATGGCTCCCTATATTCATATCTTCAAAAAAATTTTGATATTTTAATGTTGCTTCTTAAAACATTGCCCAATTCCACAATTTTTACACAAAGAATTCAGTGACATGACAATATGCTTTTTGCCATATGGTGCACCTGTTACCACTCTCCTTGTCCACATTAGTCCACGGCTAGAAACAACAACAGAGAGGCATTTGTGGCTGTCAAATTCTTTTCATGCATACTACGTGAATACTCAGGTATCATGCTTTCTTTACTGTGACTGAATTTATACACTCTTTCAGCAGCAATGTTTCTGCTGTGCTCCCCACCATACCAGCATCCAGAAGAGTGATGGATTCAAGGGAAATACTGTGTGGATCTGCTGAACGAAGGTGTATTCCAACGCCCAACTCTGCGTCAAGCTTAGATTGTTTCCCGCTTTTCACTGTAACAAATGATGCTCAGCCAACACTCGCTCATCTGCCTTTTCACCCCATCCTCCTCTCAGGATGGCAGGTGCTTCATCTTCCCTTTCTTCTTCTAGGGTCCTCTGCTCTCTTTCTGGGCCTCTCCCTGCAGGGTGGGAAGTCAGCAGCACAGGCAATATTGAGGGTTGAAGGAGAGAGGCCTGGATCGGGACAGGTTTAAGAACCTCTTTGCAGACCTTTCCTCAGGACACACCCACCTCAGTTACCGACAGCTCCTACAACCTGCATCACCACAGCTGGCCCTCCGATTGCCAAACCCAACCTGACCTTCTCTTGCTCAGCTTATCCCACCTCCCACAGCTTTAACACTGTAGACCACACCTGTCTGTGCATTGTTCTTCTATATTGTAAACTGCTAAGCTGTCCCCTTCTTGACCTTCTACTTCCACAGGCTATGCTGCTTAGATGCGTCTCTTCCTTTTCCTTCTTTCAGCAATCTTTGCTCACTCCTTCTAAGGTGGGGTCTTGCCAAGACCCTATCCCATTCTCTCCACTCTCACATCTCCACCAACTTCTGTTTCCATGAATGAGCCCACGGTTACCTGTCTGGCTCTGATCTCTTCCTGGGCCACACACACACACACACACACAAATCTCCGCCAGATAACATGCTCTATATTTGAATAACATTTTCTAGAAACTCAGAATGTAACAAACAAGTGCTAAGGATCTGCTTCAGTGATGCAGGAATCTTCATTGAACTCCCAGCACTTTCAGGGAGTTTGCAAGGTAAAAATGGTTTTTGTAACATCACTATCAGGTCATTTCTCTTCTTTACTATCATACTCTTACAAATGGATGCTGGACTGTCCCAGAGAGAATATGTGGGATAGGGCAACAGTCTCAGAGCAGAAGCAAGTGCGAGAATTTGGCTGTTCTTTTAAGCCAGGCATTTAAAAGAGAATTGTGAAAGTATCAAGTTAAATAAAAGTTAGGGGGAAGGGACAGAGCAGAGGGACTGAGGTTGGGAAGGGAAGGTGTTATGGGGTTCCCAGAGTTTAGTGGGTGGAGGGAGTGGATGAAAGACTTAGGAAAGATCCAGTGGGGACCTGAAAAGATGGGGTGACAGTGGACATAGGTCAATAGTGATGGTTCTTATTAAATGCAATGTATGGAAATGATTGGAACAAATACAATGTAAATGAACGAATGTGTGAAACACAATGTAATGAATTTTGCATGCAAACAAATATAAATTTTTTAAATGTAAGAAAATCCTCACAATAAAGCATTTTATGAAGTCATTTAAAAAAAAAAATAAGCAGGAAGTGAAATCCTTTTCCTAGGAGTCAAGGAGATTCCTGCACGAGATAGAGACAGAGTATGCCTGTGACCCCAAAGAAGCATCAGAAGCCGAAGTCGTAGATGAAGCAGCCTTAGAACTGCTGCCCCATGGAGCCAATGCCCAGGGCCTTTGCCCAGACTTGCTGGAAGTCATGGTGGGGCGACACCCTCAACGTCAGAGCAATGAGAGCTTTGTATCCCTGGCCTAGAGCCCCCGACTAAGGTCAAACAGTCAGCAAGCACATCTAAGAAACTATTCTAACAAGAATCCTGTTTCTAACCTGAATTGTAACCTGTTAATTTTCTTTTTTAAGAAAGTTAATAAAAAAAGAATAACTTTGCTTTATTTTGGCAAGTGCAGTTATTTTCATTCGAAGAGTCATTTAGTTTAGTATCATTTGTTTACTATTTTTTTAAAATGCTTGTATTTTTTTTATGTTGTTGTTATGTGCCATCCAAGTCACTTGGAACTCATAGCGACACTATGTACAACAGCCTTGAACTCTGCTTTTGGTACATCTCACAAGGTAGATGTAGTCAACACTAACAAGAACTTTTCAGAGTTCTTAACCAAGAATGTTCTTCTTAAATGCAAAGCATTTCCAATAAGTGTTCCCATGTAGCTGGCTGTGTATTAAGGAGACCCAGTGGCTCAATGGTTAAAGTACACCACTGCTAAGCAAAAGGTTGGTAGTTTAAACACACCAGCAGTGGGAAGAGAAGGCAGTCCAGCTCCATGAAAAATCCCAAAGGACAATTCTGCTCTGTCTCACAGGGTCACTGTGCTTTAGAATCAACTCAACACCCACAGCGTCCCTTTTCAGCAGGAAGTAGCTAAGAGACTATGCCATCCCCTTTTCCTTATGA